TACTTCTAAAATTTGGTTGTGTGCAAAATGTATCTATAAGAATATAAATCCTAGTATTTACAATAGCAAAAGAAAAGCTCTGCAAAAAGAATATGTGTTCAGGGATCAGAAAATGGTTAAATAAATTTTAGTAAAGCAATTCAATAGTTTGTTCAGATTCAATTTCCTGCCAAGCTACTCAATGATGGCATATTACTCAGAGTTCTTCTATACTTTAAACCAACATGAAAGGGCAGAAAAGGGGATCAAATAAACCTAGTTTGTATTTCATAAGCACTTATTCTCCAAAGTACCTCCTTCAAACCTTTTCTGTTTCCTGCCATCATCAAGGAGAAACAACATCAAAAACATATAAGCATAGCCTATCCTTTGGTCTGTCCATAACAAATTCATTCTCAGTGCCCAAACATCTAGTTTACTTCTTGACTTAATTAACACTGGGTGTTAAAAAATTGGAGAAGAGTTTGCAGAAAGCAGACCTACAAGACAGAGGCTTGCTGAATCTGAATATAAATGCCCCGAATTTATGCTAAAATTGTTAATTTTGCCTGATTCCCAGTGTAAAATCCCCAGACACTTTGCTTATAACTACTCCGCCAAGATCAATAATATTAATAATTAATAACCAACATTATCATCCACAAAATATTTATTAATCATCTGTTGGCCCCCTCTGGGGCATCATCTATACCTCACTCCTCTTTGTCTACCCCATAGTAGATATTACAATGTTTTTATGCACTCAACAAATAAATATCACAATGTGATTTATGTTCCAAAAAGGACAATCCAACTCAGAATAACAATGTATAATCATTTATATAACAACAGTAGATACACCACTGAATCTCTTAAAGCAAAATATGGTGCCTTAAATGTCTGTCAGCCTTGCTATTGTTCATGCATTCAGAAAAAAACTAAAGCATTCATTAGTGTCTAGGGCAAGAACAAAGGGAAGCAATCCAGTAGTCCTCCTTCCTGACAAAATGCAGATTCTATATTTCCCTCATTACCCAGTCATTCATTCCAGCATCTATCAAGTCCTTGGATGAGCCCAGTGCCACAGAGGCACAGAGACCACATGGCTAGACAGAAAGAACACAGGTCCTTCCTCTCTGCAGCTCATCACCTAGAGGGCACCTGACAAGAAGGCAGTGTGGTAAGCATGCCAACTGCACAAAGGATATGACACTCACCACGCAAGTAAGCACAAATGAGAGGAAGACCAACCCTGACCAGGACAGTCAGGTGGGGCTTAAAAGGAAGGAAGTAGAGTAGCAAGACAGAAGCCGACCATGTGCAGTGTTCTCCATCAAAAAGAAACCCTGGTTTGCCCTGGCCAGTGTGGCTCAGTTGGTTGGAACGTTGTCCTGTACAAAGGAGGTAGTAGGTTCGATTCCAGTCAGGGCAAATACCCGGGTTGTGGGTTTGGTCCCCAGTTGGGGTACATGTTGGAGGCAACTGATAGGTGTTTCTTTCCCCCACCCTCCCCTCCTTCCCCCTCCCCTCCCCTCAAGAAAAAAGAAAAAGAAAATCCTGGTTTAAAAATTTCAGACTGAAAGAGCCCTAGTCAGAACCCAAGCATTGAGATTCCCTCCAGAGTTGCTTCCATTACCCCAAGATACTGTCATCCTTCCAATGGAAATGCTAAACACACCTCAATCTCAGTCACAGACTGGGTGCTGAGGAATGTGGCCCTGCTGTGTGATGTGAACTTTGGACAAGGTAATGCAAACAATGGGACTTCGGTGCCAAAGTCTATCACATTTTCAGCATTTCTAAGCCTCCAGCACAAGAAAAGAGTGGACAAAATAAAGATTACTTCCTAGGCAATATCCATATTATTCCCACCCAGTAATAATCTAGGATCCTAAAGTAAAATAATCAAGAAAAAAAAAACATTAAAATGTATAATTAATTTAAAATCCTTATAAGTAAATAGAAAGCTTCCACATCAAGTTTATTAATTTATTGAATCATAACATAATAATATGAACTCTAACAATCATGTTTTTTCTTCCCATTAAATTTAACATGTTGCATGTGTACTATGTAAAATCCTGTCCTTTTGGTATATAACAGTTAATAAAATCTATTTCTTTTTTCTAAATTAATAAAAACTGGTCCCCACCAAAAAATTTAACAATTCATTATTATCAATAACCCAAGTATTCACATTATCCCAATTATTTAAAATTTTTCCAACAGTTCGTTTGTTTAATTGAAATCCAAATAAAGTCCATAAATTGTGGTTACTTAAAAAAAACACATAAAAATAAATTAAAACTGGTCCTATACTTTAAGGAACATGAAGAAATAGAACATATGTTCTATAGACCAATCACTTATTCATTAATTTCTTACCTATGAGGTACAGCAAGAAAGCTGATTTAATCAAATAATTTACCTCCAAGTACGGTTGAGACATTCACTTAAATAATTAACTATAAAGAGGTTACTTTGATCACTGAGGTTTTGCCTGTTGTGGTTACTGACAGAAGCTCAAAAGTGTGCTTAAAATGGTAGATGGGTGCTAAATATTTGACAGGTTAATACTAAGATAATATTTTAGGATTATGATCTACAACTAAAGTTCATAAGTAAGGTACCAAAACTAAAGCTAACTAAACAACACACATAATTCATAAATTCTGATACTATTTTCTAACAGTAACAATCCAAATCTTTTCTTTTTAACCACGGTAAACCTTGATCGGTCCCATTCAAGTATGCCAAGGGGAGTTCTTTAACACAATGCTCCCAAAATGCTACCACAATGAGGAAAGAGTTAATGTGGACCTTGAGGGCCTCGACTTTCTTCAGGAAAGCAACTTATAATCAGAAAGTAATTTCTAGCCTGGGGAGACTGTGATTTACCACTTTCCATATGCACTATTCCAAAAGGGAGTATTCCCGATCGCACCATCTAATTTCCCAATTACCAGCCTCATAATGGTTCTTTATTTCATTTCAGTGAGGGATGGCCAACGCTAAGATTTATATTTACGGCAATGTTGCTATGACAACAAAAAGGGGACCTTATTCCTGGGATTTAAACCGATTCAACTGGTTTTATAGACTAGCCAGTTGTTTTTCTGGATAAAGTTTTAAAACATTCCTCTATCGGAAAATTATTTCATTTACAGGCTAAGTTTTAAACGAAAATATAGTACAACGTGGCTGGAAATACGTAATAACACAGAATGCAATGAATAACAGAATTTGGGGAAAACAGATGTACAAAAAAAGAGCATTAATTATTTTACAACTTATACCTACTGGTTTTCAGTAAAATCCAACCCTGATATTACATCACGTACATAGCACTGAGATTATATAAAGGCATATGCTATGCACAACAAGAGGGAGGGAAATTCTCTCTCAGGAGCCTGTT